ACACTGGTCACTATAGTCCCAGACCATCCCAACACTGGTCATTATAGTCCCCGACCATCCCAACACTGGTCACTATAATCCCCCGACCATCCCAACACTGGTCATAGTCCCCGACCATCCCAACACCGGTCACCATAGTCCACGACCATCCCAACACTGGTCACTATAATCCCCCGACCATCCCAACACTGGTCATTATAGTCCCCGACCATCCCAACACCGGTCACCATAGTCCACGACCATCCCAACACTGGTCATAGTCCCCGACCATCCCAACACTGGTCATAGTCCCCGACCATCCCAACACTGGTCATAGTCCCCGACCATCCCAACACTGGTCATAGTCCCCGACCATCCCAACACTGGTCATAGTCCCCGACCATCCCAACACTGGTCATAGTCCCCGACCATCCCAACACTGGTCATAGTCCCCGACCATCCCAACACTGGTCATAGTCCACGACCATCCCAACACTGGTCATAGTCCACGACCATCCCAACACTGGTCATTATAGTCCCCGACCATCCCAACACCGGTCACCATAGTCCCCGACCATCCCAACACTGGTCATAGTCCCCGACCATCCCAACACTGGTCATAGTCCCCGACCATCCCAACACTGGTTTATACCCAATTGGCAAAACTGATTAACAATCCACTGTAAACGTGGCCACTTCCTGAAGCCTTCAGGTGTGTGATGTGCAGGCTTGGTGGGAGGGGGGAGGGGGAAAGGGGGAAGCGGTCCACCCCTAGCTAACTCCCCCCCCCCCTCTCCCTTCTTCCCCCTACCCCCCTCCCCAATCTGCCCCGTTCCAGCCAATCCCCATCTCCTGGGTGAGTCAGCAGGACTCACCGCTGACGTCATTACCTCCAAACTGCACATCAGTGCTGGAGTTCCCAGTGAAGAGCTCCTCAGCACACCTCACCAAGCCTGAGGAAGCCCCTCCCTCCCCCCTCCCCCGAGTCACCAGATCACAAGATAAGCCTGAGGAAGCCCCCCTCCCCCCCCCCGAGTCACCAGATCACAAGATAAGCCTGAGGAAGTCCCCCTCCCCCCCCTCCCCCGAGTCACCAGATCACAAGATAAGCCTGAGGAAGCCCCCCTCCCCCCCCCTCCCCCGAGTCACCAGATCACAAGATAAGCATGAGGAAGCCCCCCTCCCCCCCTCCCCCGTGTCACCAGATCACAAGATAAGCCTGAGGAAGCCCCCCTCCCCCCCCTCCCCCGAGTCACCAGATCACAAGATAAGCATGAGGAAGCCCCCCTCCCCCCTTCCCCCGAGTCACCAGATCACAAGATAAGCCTGAGGAATCCCCCCTCCCCCCCCTCCCCCGAGTCACCAGATCACAAGATAAGCCTGAGGAAGCCCCCCTCCCCCGAGTCACCAGATCACAAGATAAGCCTGAGGAAGCCCCCCTCCCCCCCTCCCCCGAGTCACCAGATCACAAGATAAGCCTGAGGAAGCCCCCCTCCCCCCCCCCTCCCCCGAGTCACCAGATCACAAGATAAGCCTGAGGAAGCCCCCCTCCCCCCCTCCCCCGAGTCACCAGATCACAAGATAAGCCTGAGGAAGCCCCCCTCCCCCCCCTCCCCCGAGTCACCAGATCACAAGATAAGCATGAGGAAGCCCCCCTCCCCCCCCCGAGTCACCAGATCACAAGATAAGCATGAGGAAGCCCCCCTCCCCCCCTCCCCCGAGTCACCAGATCACAAGATAAGCCTGAGGAATCCCCCCTCCCCCCCCCCCCCCCCCGAGTCACCAGATCACAAGATAAGCCTGAGGAAGCCCCCCTCCCCCGAGTCACCAGATCACAAGATAAGCCTGAGGAAGCCCCCCTCCCCCCCTCCCCCGAGTCACCAGATCACAAGATAAGCCTGAGGAAGCCCCCCTCCCCCCCCCCCCTCCCCCGAGTCACCAGATCACAAGATAAGCCTGAGGAAGCCCCCCTCCCCCCCCCTCCCCCGAGTCACTAGATCACAAGATAAGCATGAGGAAGCCCCCCTCCCCCGAGTCACCAGATCACAAGATAAGCCTGAGGAAGCCCCCCGCCCCCCTCCCCCCCTCCCCCGAGTCACCAGATCACAAGATAAGCATGCGGAAGCCCCCCTCCCCCCCTCCCCCGAGTCACCAGATCACAAGATAAGCATGCGGAAGCCTCAAAGACTCACCAGTATATAAGGCAAGTCGGTGGAAACCTCCACGAATCACTAGCACTTAATTAGCAGGAGGCTGCAACAAGCAGGGCCACCAAGGGCAGCAGGGGTGGAGAGAGTGGAGCAAGACCACCACAACACACAAGTGACATGCACAGACTGGTGTTGGTAACACTGAGTGTCGCTCTGTGGCTCTCAGTCCTCCTTAACCACCTGTCTTGAATCCAGTTATTATGTACCCCATACCCATCCCTTAGGGGGGGTTAGTGGACCCCATATCTATCCCTTAGGGGGGGTAGTGGACCCCATACTCATCCCTTAGGGGGGGGTAGAGGACCCCATACCCATCCCTTAGGGGGGTTAGTGGACCCCATATCCATCCCTTAGGGGGGGTTAGTGGACCCCATACCCATCCCTTAGGGGGGGTTAGTGGACCCCATACCCATCCCTTAGGGGGGGTTAGTGGACCCCATACCCATCCCGTAGGGGTGGTAGTGAACCCCATATCCATCCCGTAGGGGGGTAATGGACCCCATACCCATCCCTTAGGGGGGGTTAGTGGACCCCATACCCATCCCGTAGGGGTGGTAGTGGACCCCATACCCATCCTGTGGGTGGTGGTGGACAAGGCTGTAGGAGGCCCATAATGGGCTCAGGAACCCCCAAAATTCATTCAGCTAAGTGAGTTAGTGAGAGTGTGATGCATATACCAACAGTCTAATGTAACATAACTGGGAGGGGCACCCAGCTGGGTCTCTCTCTCTCTCTCTCTCTCTCTCTCTCTCTCTCTCTCTCTCTCTCTCTCTCTCTCTCTCTCTCTCAGAAAAGTTAACAATTCTAAGGACTCAGCAAACTACTTTTAACCAATTAGGTGAAAGGGTCAATTATTTCGCCCGACCCTCTCTTAAAAGGACCAATAGGAACGCCCCCAACCAGCCTATGTCCGTCCCATACCCTAAACCAGTCACCCTGCAGAGCTGGATGAGGCTAACACCCCCCATCCCCAAGCGTCTGGGGCTCCAACCTCATACAGACAAACATACATTCAGTCTTATAGATGGGTCTCATAAACCGGGCCGGGATTCATCAAGCAGTTACCCAAGCACTTACGAAACCTGTGCATCTTTCAACCAACATGGCGGCCTTGTTTACACGTATTAATGATCCTATGAACTCCGAAGCACTATACGAGGTGGTTTATAACAATAACAACCTCGGGTTGTGACGTTTCTAGGCTCTTAAACCGTTTATTATTTGTAAACAAAACCGCCATGAGTGAGGAAAGATGAAGAGGTTTCGTAAGGGGGGTTGCCTAAATGGTCGAGGCATCTTGGTCTTGGACCACAACAGCCTTCAAGATCAACAATTTCTCTCAAGAAAACACGCAAAGCGACCAATAATTTTAGTTATAGACTAAATTATTGCTTTTTCTTTGAACGTCACATTGTTCATAATTATCTGATCAATAGTATATACTTGTTAATAGCCCGCCCCCCCCCACCCGAACCTCCCCCCCCCCGAACCTTACCCCACCCCCCCCATTCACCCCACCCCATCCATACCATCTCCACCCCCACCCACCCCTACCCAATCACCCCTCCCCAACCATAGAACCCCCACAATCACCCACCCCAACAACCCCCCCCTCCCCCCACGAGGGAGAGGGGGGGGGTGCCGTCAAGAGCCCCAGCAACACGGGGTAGAGATAACATAAGAGTTGTGACTCTTGACACCTGGACGGAACGATCTGCCATTAAATAAAATTTCAGTCACCAGAACAGTGAGGTTCGACGCACAATGACCACAATCCCGTCATGAATTTCTATTGAGTATTGAGTCCACATTGTGCACTGTGCACGGGGGAGAACGGTGTGAAGGTCTGCTATCATTCACCCCCGGCGTGAGCACCACGGGTGGCCAGGTGTATACTGTATACCAGGTGTATACTGGCCACCTGGCCACTGTACACTCAGATACAGTCGGTGTTTATTAATACACACATTAATACACCTTCAGAGGGTGTATTAATAAGGCTATACACACAAGTCGCAGCCGAGAGCTCACGGCTCGCTCCTCAAGACATCGCGGGCGTTCACATCGCGGGCGTTCACATCGCGGGCGATCACATTGCAAGGGGGCGTTCACGCCACACCAACACTTGTTTCCCATAGCGCACTTATCCAGACACTTCATCATGGCCCATTGTAAAGTGCACCGATTGCCTCACTGAACTTCCCACTGGCACTGTAGAGGCGTGTTAACGTGCACTCTATAGCCTATAGAGTCGTCCCCATGACCATAGGCACCGTGGTCGTGTACAGGACCATAGGCACCGTGGTCGTGTACAGGACCATAGGCACCGTGGTCGTGTACAGGACCATAGGCACCGTGGTCGTGTACAGGACCATAGGCACCGTGGTCGTGTACAGGACCATAGGCACCGTGGTCGTGTACAGGACCATAGGCACCGTGGTCGTGTACAGGACCATAGGCACCGTGGTCGTGTACAGGACCATAGGCACCGTGGTCGTGTACAGGACCATAGGCACCGTGGTCGTGTACAGGACCATAGGCACCGTGGTCTTGTACAGGACCATAGGCACCGTGGTCGTGTACAGGACCATAGGCACCGTGGTCGTGTACAGGACCATAGGCACCGTGGTCGTGTACAGGACCATAGGCACCGTGGTGGTCCATAGGTGCAGGTTCTGGGTTCTCCCACAGGACCACCGCCTGTGCTTCGGACCATTAATCCAGAGCGGTGGCACCACTGGCGAGGGCAAGAGCAGGAGCCACTGTAGCAGCACCACTGGCCGTCACAGTGGTGAGGTGGGCGCCACTCACACGTAAGAGGTAGAGAGAGAGAGCAACCTCTCACTGCGGCTAAACCACTAGACTCACAACACCAGACTGACTCCCACTATCTCCTGCACTCACCGACATCCGCCCTCACCACGCACGCACGCACACACACACACACACACACACACACACACACACACACACACACACACACACACACACACACACACGCACACACACACACACACACACACACACACACACACACACACACACACACTCACATACACACATTCACACAGAGATATTAGAAAGAACGTTTTCAGTGTCAGAGTAGTTGACAAATGGAATGCATTAGGCAGTGATGTGGTGGAGGCTGACTCCATACACAGTTTCAAATGTAGATATGATAGAGCCCAGTAGGCTCAGGAATCTGTACACCAGTTGGTTGACAGTTGAGAGGCGGGACCAAAGAGCCAAAGCTCAACCCCCGCAAGCACAACTAGGTGAGTACCTGCTATTATTAAATAACACATACTCCATGTGTAAACCGTTGATGGGGGGTGGGGGGTGAGTTATGTATACTCTCAGACCCATACAGGGAGTGTATGGGTCTGAGTGTATGTATATTTAAGTATAATTAAAAGAAAACCTGTATACCCCCCCCCCACACACACACACGCGCGTGCGCGCACGTGCACGCACACACAGTCCCTCGATGGCTCTCAAGACCCTCCCTGCCTCGGAAAGCATTTTTGCCTCTCAACCCGTCACTGCCACACAGTGCCTCTCTACCTCTCAACCCGTCACTGCCACACAGTGCCTCTCTACCTCTCAACCCGTCACTGCCACACAGTGCCTCTCTACCTCTCAACCCGTCACTGCCACACAGTGCCTCTCTACCTCTCAACCTGTCACTGCCACACAGTGCCTCTCTACCTCTCAACCCGTCACTGCCACACAGTGCCTCTCTACCTCTCAACCCGTCACTGCCACACAGTGCCTCTCTACCTCTCAACCTCACTCTTAAACACGAAACTCTTCCTCCGTCACAACCACTCATAACAGTCACAGCCACTCATAACAGTCACAACCACTCATAACAGTCACAACCACTCGTAACAGTCACAACCACTCGTAACAGTCACAACCACTCGTAACAGTCACAACCACTCATAACAGTCACAACCACTCATAACAGTCACAACCACTCGTAACAGTCACAACCACTCATAACAGTCACAACCACTCGTAACAGTCACAACCACTCGTAACAGTCACAAGCACTCATAACAGTCACAACCACTCATAACAGTCACAACCACTCATAACAGTCACAACCACTCATAACAGTCACAGCCACTCATAACAGTCACAGCCACTCATAACAGTCACAACCACTCGTAACAGTCACAACCACTCATAACAGTCACAACCACTCATAACAGTCACAACCACTCATAACAGTCACAACCACTCGTAACAGTCACAACCACTCATAACAGTCACAACCACTCATAACAGTCACAACCACTCATAACAGTCACAACCACTCGTAACAGTCACAACCACTCGTAACAGTCACAACCACTCATAACAGTCACAACCACTCATAACAGTCACAACCACTCGTAACAGTCACAACCACTCGTAACAGTCACAACCACTCGTAACAGTCACAACCACTCGTAACAGTCACAACCACTCGTAACAGTCACAAACACTCATAACAGTCACAACCACTCATAACAGTCACAACCACTCGTAACAGTCACAAGCACTCGTAACAGTCACAACCACTCATAACAGTCACAACCACTCATAACAGTCACAACCACTCATAACAGTCACAACCACTCATAACAGTCACAACCACTCGTAACAGTCACAACCACTCGTAACAGTCACAACCACTCGTAACAGTCACAAGCACTCATAACAGTCACAACCACTCATAACAGTCACAACCACTCGTAACAGTCACAACCACTTGTAACAGTCACAACCACTCGTAACAGTCACAACCACTCATAACAGTCACAACCACTCGTAACAGTCACAACCACTCGTAACAGTCACAAGCACTCATAACAGTCACAACCACTCATAACAGTCACAACCACTCTTAACAGTCACAACCACTCGTAACAGTCACAACCACTCATAACAGTCACAACCACTCGTAACAGTCACAAGCACTCATAACAGTCACAACCATTCATAACAGTCACAACCACTCATAACAGTCACAACCATTCATAACAGTCACAAGCACTCATAACACTCACAAGCACTCATAAGTCACAACCACTCATAACCGTCACAACCACTCGTAACAGTCACAACCACTCATAACAGTCACAACCACTCATAACAGTCACAACCACTCGTAACAGTCACAACCACTCGTAACAGTCACAACCACTCGTAACAGTCACAAGCACTCATAACACTCACAAGCACTCATAAGTCACAACCTACACCCATAGAAACAAGCAAACGTGCTCTGAAAAGTCAGGAAAGCGTCCAAGAAGAGTCATAAAGTAAGGTACACAAACACTCTCGCAGAGGAAATGAGAGGAAGGAATTTGATGTAATTGTAATAGTGGAAACTAAAATAAATGACATGATCTCAAACGGAATATTTCCAAGGGAATAACAAATAATTGGGAAAGAAGGAAACAAAGGCACAGAGAGGTTAAGCGCACTCCTGGTAAAACGAAAATGGAAGTTTGAGGAACTAGATGGTCAAAAGAAATTGATAAACAGGCTTCGTCACCAAGATGCTGACATCAGATGGCAAAAAGATAGTGGTCTTGGTAATTTAATATAACTAAAGACCCAAACACATCAACACCACGCAGAGAGCAGCATCAGCAGCACGCAGAGAGCAGCATCAGCAGCACGCAGAGAGCAGCATCAGCAGCACGCAGAGAGTAGCACCAGCAGCACGCAGAGAACCGCACCAGCAGCACGCAGAGAGCAGCACCAGCAGCACGCAGAGAGCAGCATCAGCAGCACGCAGAGAGCAGCATCAGCAGCACGTAGAGAGCAGCATCAGCAGCACGCAGAGAGCAGCACCAGCAGCACGCAGAGAGCAGCATCAGCAGCACGCAGAGAGCAGCATCAGCCGCACGCAGAGAGTAGCATCAGCAGCACGCAGAGAGCAGCATCAGCAGCACCCAGAGAGCAGCATCAGCAGCACGCAGAGAGCAGCATCAGCAGCACCCAGAGAGCAGCATCAGCAGCACGCAGAGAGCAGCATCAGCCGCACGCAGAGAGTAGCATCAGCAGCACGCAGAGAGCAGCATCAGCAGCACGCAGAGAGCAGCATCAGCAGCACGCAGAGAGTAGCATCAGCAGCACGCAGTGAGCAGCATCAGCAGCACCCAGAGAGCAGCATCAGCAGCACCCAGAGAGCAGCATCAGCAGCACCCAGAGAGCAGCATCAGCCGCACGCAGAGAGCAGCATCAGCAGCACGCAGAGAGCAGCATCAGCAGCACGCAGAGAGCAGCATCAGCAGCACGCAGAGAGCAGCATCAGCAGCACGCAGAGAGTAGCATCAGCAGCACGCAGAGAGCAGCATCAGCAGCACGCAGAGAGCAGCATCAGCAGCACCCAGAGAGCAGCATCAGCAGCACGCAGAGAGCAGCATCAGCAGCACGCAGAGAGCAGCATCAGCCGCACGCAGAGAGCAGCATCAGCAGCATGCAGAGAGCAGCATCAGCAGCACGCAGAGAGCAGCATCAGCAGCACGCAGAGAGCAGCACCAGCAGCACGCAGAGAGCAGCATCAGCAGCACGCAGAGAGCATCATCAGCCGCACGCAGAGAGTAGCATCAGCAGCACCCAGAGAGCAGCATCAGCCGCACGCAGAGAGCAGCATCAGCAGCACGCAGAGAGCAGCATCAGCCGCACGCAGAGAGTAGCATCAGCAGCACGCAGAGAGCAGCATCAGCCGCACGCAGAGAGCAGCATCAGCAGCACGCAGAGAGCAGCATCAGCCGCACGCAGAGAGCAGCATCAGCAGCACGCAGAGAGCAGCATCAGCCGCACGCAGAGAGTAGCATCAGCAGCACGCAGAGAGCAGCACCAGCAGCACGCAGAGAGCAGCATCAGCAGCACGCAGAGAGCATCATCAGCCGCACGCAGAGAGTAGCATCAGCAGCACCCAGAGAGCAGCATCAGCAGCACGCAGAGAGCAGCATCAGCAGCACGCAGAGAGCAGCATCAGCAGCACGCAGAGAGCAGCATCAGCAGCACGCAGAGAGCAGCATCAGCAGCACGCAGAGAGCATCATCAGCCGCACGCAGAGAGTAGCATCAGCAGCACGCAGAGAGCAGCAGCACGCAGAGAGTAGCATCAGCAGCACGCAGAGAGCAGCAGCACGCAGAGAGCAGCATCAGCAGCACGCAGAGAGCAGCAGCACGCAGAGAGCAGCATCAGCAGCACGCAGAGAGCAGCATCAGCAGCACGCAGAGAGCAGCATCAGCCGCACGCAGAGAGCAGCATCAGCAGCACGCAGAGAGCAGCATCAGCCGCAAACAGAATTCACCCATGAGCCATGGGGGATCTAGATCACAGACATCAATGGGGGATCGCAGAATCCCCGTGGTGGGGAAGAAACGTGGGGAGGAAAATTAGTTATGGAAAGAAACTTCCTAACACAGCTTGTCGTCGATGACAAGAGGAAGAGATTCATCAAGACTATTGACCCCTGATCAGTCCCCCAGAACATGGAGAACTTGGCTCAAGAAACACCACCTCGAGCCAGTCATCATTATGTATTGATCTTTCGTTACAGGACTGAACTTAAAACTATGACTATAAGACAATGGGTCAGGGGGAAGAAGTACAAACTACAGGAAAGAGAATTAATTACATGACGGAGTAAAAGAGTATCTTGAAAATGTGCCTTGGGAGGAGGAACGTAGACGTTCTTCTAAGTTCTTGATGATGGATCAAGAAGGCACTGAGGAAATGATGGAACAAGAAGGAACTGAGGAAATGATGGTTCAAGAAGGCACTGAGGAAATGATGGAACAAGAAGGAACTGAGGAAATGATGGTTCAAGAAGGCACTGAGGAAATGATGGAACAAGAAGGAAC